AAAAAGAGCCCCGGAAAAATTTTTTATTTTTCCCCTGACAGTCGCTGAGTAACATTGGTGAGTAACACTCCACAGTATATAGCGTAGTGCCGCCATCTATTGGAGGAAAAAATGGTTTTTAAACCTGGGGGGTGTCAAATAGGATTTGGCCCTACTCCAGTACTCGGGCTACTGGACAAGGCTTTGCCAGCAAAATATAATAAAAATAAGTCAGTGACAAAGTGACCAGAAACTTAAAATAATAAACATTAGAGATTCATAGAATCACAGTCACCTTGCCAAAATGCAATAAGATTGACAAATTTAATATAAGTAATAACAATTAAATCTGTACGGTGTAGTTCTCAAACTCGGGAAACTGAGCCATGTAAACAACGTGTTAGCGATGTGCTGTAGCCGCTGATTAGCTGACTGGCGAGTCGTGACTATTGACCAATCAGAGCACGAGTCTCATACACACTTCGGCCGATGCATACAGTCTAAAATTGGAGCAGCTTGGATCAAATCAAAAATACGGGGAAAAATATCGAGGATCGGATCGAGGGAAGAGAATCGCGATCCGATTCGATTTCGGTGGATCGTTACAGCCCTAACTTCCTAAGAGTAAGTATTAGTGATGCAGATATTGAGATAAGGTCTAGATGTTCTTCTGACCTCTGTTTGACCTGGCTCGTTTAGCTATTTCTGACTAATATATATAGGGTTAGGGTTAGTCAGAAATAGCTAAACAAGCCAGGTCAAACAGAGGTCAGGGGGACATAGACCCTACGAGCGATAGTGATGCTAGGAGTAGGAAGTAAGATCGCAGTGGCTACGGGTATGGTAGCCGTCGGTCGCCGAAGCCCCTTTTTGGCGTTAGGGTTAGGGTTCGGGTTAGGATTAGGGTTAGGTTTAGGGTTATGGTTAGGGTTAGGTTTAGGGTTACTACGGTTAGGGTTCTAGCTCATCTAAACTCTCAAATCGTGAATTTATTTCCCAAGGCGTTATTTCGAAATCTGGCGCCAGCGCCGCCATCTTTGTCTCCTTAAGTATGAAAGCGAATGGACTCCCGTAACCGTAGCCTCGAGACATTCGGCTACCGTACCCGTAGCCACTGCCAAGTTGAAGTAAGATACCTGGCAATGCCATCTGGCCAGATTGGACAACCATTTACATTATCAGAATGAGTGTTCCAGCTTCTTTAAAATGTGCAATTTGGTATTATTTTATATTCTTCCTCATTAACCTTACACCTAGTGTACACATTGATAACGTTAAACTTTAAAAGAAGAGGAAGAAATCCCCATAAGTTTGCCACTTCACTTACCTCGATGCCATGTTTGTTTGTGTTCGTAGTTCCGATAAATGCCACGGGAGGGCCAAATGTTACGCAACGGGCTACGCACGTGACCGAGCAACTACGAGGAAGAGATATTTCAACGAGTGAAAACTTCTGAATTTTTTACTAGTAGACTAAACTACAACAAACAGCAGTTGACGGCAATATTAACCACAATAAATTGATAAAATTCATGATAAAAATGGAATTACGACGGAACAACACAAAGCACATTTGGGACTTCTTTCCCGACGCTCAATTTTTGTAAATTATTATTCTTATTATTATTATCATCATATTACGTTTATAGTAAAGAGCGCATCGAAGTTACCGAAAGCGCGCAGCCACCATGCAATAGATTGACATCAAAATTCTTTCGTCCGTTAGCTAATATATTATGCTAAGACGTTGACACCCCCCCCCCCTCTACGCAAGCGCAAGCGTGTGCGCAGTGCAAGCATGTGCTTGCGTGCGTGCTTGCGTGCGTGTGTGCGTGCGCATGTGCAGTAGTATCATTACACGATACAGTAATGGGACGCAATAACATGAGTAGGCGGGGCGCAATTATGATAGGGGGTCTTTGAATGTTAGCTGCATCTGATGAATCCAATTCTGACTAAACGTAAATTTGCTACACATTACACTTTTCATGTGAATCATCGAATAATAGAATATTAAAATGGTCCTCGCTTTATTGGGACACGGATAAATGGGTGCATATCGGTTGATTAAACAGCATGTCTTTGAAAAACAATTCTTACGGACGTTGTTATGTTTTCACCGCTTAATCGGTACATTTTTATGATTAATTTCCGACATGTCCCGGTAAAGCGGAGACCACTGTATTAAATATTCCTGATTAAAAATACGCTATGTATGGTCTCGTACATTGCCATAAGCTGGGATGAGCGCAGATCGCCTGACTGCACTCAGTCACTGGGTGCAGTCAGGCGATCCGCGCTCATCCCAGTGAATGCAGTTTACTTCCTGATTTGTAGCACTGGTACTGCTTATGATAATAGCAGATCTAACAGAGCGTAACAGTCAATGCTCCCGACCAACGCGAGAGGTAAGGATGTATCACGCTCTAGAGGAGGCAGGGAAAGAGAAGGGGAAGCGAAAGAGCGAGAGAAGTTGACGCGCGCGTGAGAGAGTGTGTTGTGTGTGTGTGAGAGAAAGAGCGCATGTTTGTTTGTGTAAGAGAGAGGGAGAGCGAGAACCAAAGAGAGGAGAGATCGAGAGAGACAGCGAGAGAGAAAGAGAGAGAGAGAGAGAGAGAGAGAGAGAGAGAGAGAGAGAGAGAGAGAGAGAAAGAGAACCAACGAGAGAGAGAGAGAGCAGAGAGAGAGAAGAGAGAGAGAGATGAGAGAGAGAGAGAGAGAGAGAGGAGAGAGAGAGAGGAGAAGAGAGAGAGAGAGAGAGAGAGAGAGAGCCGCGAGAGAGAGAGAGAAGAGAGAAGAGAGAAACAGAGACAACCAGACGCAACAAAGAACTGTGAGTAGCTACTGCCATATACCTGGCAACTTTAACCCCAATAGTCTTACGCGCCGGCAATTCCTCATTCATTGCCCCGAGGATCTCTCATGACAGACACAACTGATCGTAATTGACTCGTTTAAATGAATGATCATCCGCATTCTGACATCAATAGATATATACAACAGCATTGTATTGCGTGTATATATCTAATGGTGACATAGATACAAATAAGTAACACCAACAAAATAAGGTTAAGAGGTAATGAACCTATACCTTGTTAGGTTACATTGATTGTATCTATCGTGACAGTGCAAGCTGCAGATCAACTTGGTTATTGATATCGGTCATGAGCGCGTGTGTATGCTTTGTTTGTTGCGTGTTTGCGTTATTCTGTGCGCAGCGCATGTCTGTGTATTTGCGTAGGCGTGTTAAATAAGAGAGTGTGCGTGTGCGCGCGTCTGTATATGGCGCTGCGTGTAGTATAAGATGTGCGTGTGCGCGCGTCTGTTATGTGCGTGCGTTGTGTATAAGAGTGCGTGTTGCGCAGCGGTCTGTATATGCGTCCCGGTGTACTGAGAGAGTGCGCGAGCAGCGCGGCGTGTGCATATAATTTCGGGCGTGCGCTGCTGTTTCCATGGCGCAATAAATCATAGTCCATAAAACAAGACTCTATTATGACTCTTGATAGATGTAACAGAAATGCTCTCCACTTGACATGCCAGTTTGTCCGCGCACAGGTCTATACGCGACGTGAGCCGCTATTTCTGGAGGCATAACAGAACGGCAGAATGCTGTCAACAGGGTCGGACAGGCTATATAGCAGTCCACGCCGTCTGTGAGGCGGTAAAAGGCAGGCCTACATCGCCATCGTGCGGATAACTTCCAAACTATTCCAGGTAATATCAATACTATCTCTCTCTCTCTCACTGCACATCTCTCTCTCTCCTCATCTCTACCTCGTCTCTCCTCTCTCCCTCTCTCTATATATATATATTATAATATATATATATATATATATATATAGACATGCTACTATATATACCTATCATTATCTGTATAGGCTGTGAGAGTTGCGTTAGGATGACAGATAACCGGTTGAGCGACGCGCACAGCACATTATAAACAAATTAAGTATGGTTTACCACATGACAATCAATTTAATATTATATATAATGTTATAATATTAAAATATTATATAACATCATGTATCTGTATAGGCTGTGAGAGTTGCGTTAGGATGACAGATAACCGGTTGAGCGACGCGCACGGCACATTATAAATAAATTAAGTATGGTTTACCACATGACAATCAATTTAATATTATATATAATGTTATAATATTAAAATATTATATAACATCATGTATGTTTAATGATATTATAATGACATCATATATATGCATTTATATGAATATATGCATATTACAGAATGCATTTATCGAATCGAGGAGATCATCGGTGAAGCTCTAATCTTCTACGAAGCCGACGTGCTAGACGCAGCAGCTCTGTGCAGAATCTTTAAAGAGGTATATATACACGACCGTCCCTCATACACGGCTATCCTTACAACGCATATCTCTCTGTACGCACGAATATAACGTATATAATGGTTTATGTTAGGTCGCAGTGGGCAACATTAATTTCCACACGCGCAATATTGGTTTTTATGTCAAAGCAAGTCGCTTATCCTTGCACCAATTACAATGCGGTGTTTCTCGCAGCCACGTAAAAGTAGGATATGAATTACTTGCTATGCGTTTCAGCACGAAATCGACTGCGTCATTCACTTCGTGGGTTTAAAGTGCGTCGGAGAGTCGTGGGATATACCACTGCAGTACTACCAGACGAACATAGGAGGAACAATGACTCTCCTCGAGGCAAGTTCTTCTACTCACAACATTGTCACTAATTCGCAAGCCATTCATAACCACTAGCAACTTGTCATTATGACAGGTGACATCCAGGTAAATATCCAGGAAACTTCCGTTATTCACGAATGCCGTGAAAGGTCGCCGATAGACGTCCGGGGCCGGTTGTCAGAAACAAAATTAGTCAAAACATTCTTTTTCTCGTAGACCGATGACAGAAACGTGGTTTCCCATGCACAGTGTATCGAGGTCCGGTCTACGAGAAAAAGACAAAGTTCAGAGTAATATTAAGACGAGGAATTCTGACGAATACTCACTGCTGTTAAAACTAATTTCTGACGAAGGGCCCCTGAATCTTTTTTCTGACTTGGTGAAGGGTCTCAGCCTATACACCGACATTGAGATCGCGCGGCGTCACACTAACTGCAGGTAAGTGAAGGCACGGAACCCAGATTTTGGGTCCGAGGTCTGACGCGATCATCCACATTCAAGAGGTCATTACTACCACTAAGCTGTGGATTCAGTGGGAATTGGGCTCACCGTTTTTTTTCATCTATGGATATAGGCCTATCAAGAATTTACATAGTGAGAATTTGCCACCCGACGTGGAACCAATATCTGGTCTGGCTCATGGACTAAGGGTGTTTCTCGTGCGCAGGCGATGAAGCAGCATGGGGTGCACAACCTCGTGTTCTCCAGCTCCTGCACTGTGTATGGCGACCCTCAGTACCTGCCCGTGGACGAGGCTCACCCGACGGGGGCCTGCACAAACCCCTACGGCAGATCAAAGCACATAAACGAACTCATTCTGAAAGACTTCTACGCGGCAAACAAGGTGAGAATTACCATCCAGTGCATCCACGATATTTCACTTGCCGCGTATGTGGTGTACGACGCATCACAGGCCCTTGGAGGGTCAAGTTCCAAGAAGAGTAAAAGAGCGAAGCGGCCTGTGGTAAAAGAGCGAAGCGGCCTGTGGTAAAAGGGTGAGAGAGACGCTCTTTTACCACAGGCCGCTTCGCTCAATTACTCTTCTTGGAACCTGAGCCTCCAAGGGCCTGTGGACGCATATATGGTGTATGACACTTGTGATCTGATTTGTTTAGCCGAGGAACGTCAATGACACGTCAAATGACGTAATTATTTAAGTATTTAGGTGACGATTTCTTCGTGATGCTTACAATACATACAATGTTTCCTTACGCATATAAGACCAATACATCTGTACATACATATTCAACGTAGTATATACCAATGAAGTCGGAAATTTGATTACCGAACTAGGTTCATACAATTATTCGGGCACCGAGGTGACATAGCAACGAATCGAACACTCGTATTGTCAACTATTGACAGCGATGTTAACTCTGCTTCATTAAGAAGCCATTCACGTCCTTCTACATTTGGGTAGGACTGGAACATCGTGATGCTGCGATACTTCAACCCTGTCGGAGCTCACACGTCGGGAAAGATAGGCGAAGACCCACAAGGCGTCCCGAACAACCTCATGCCCTACGTCGCACAAGTGGCAGTAGGAAGAAGATCTCACCTCAACATTTTTGGCGACGACTACGACACGCATGACGGCACAGGTAAATATGGGCAATGGTTTTTTGTTGATGTTTTGTCCCCAGATGCCGCGCTGATGTCTACACTTGATATTATATACCCCTACAATCTCTATCGGTGGCGTGTACAAAGAGGAAAAATACTACGGAATTTTAAGTTTCCGTTTAAACAGGGTAAATTTGTTTCTATAACGATTCCACTAGAATTTAGGAAGATTGGACGCTAGAGATGCGAAGCTGTACGGTGTTCTATACATTTCAGGTGTGAGAGACTATATCCACGTCGTCGACTTAGGGAAGGGTCACGTGGCCGCGATCAAGGCACTGGAAAATAGTTGCGGGTGCAAGGTAAATAATCACGTTCTCTCCACGCAACGCTGAGATCATCCATGCCATCGACAAAACGTCAATCAAACCATTATTTTAATCACACGGATTTAGAGTAGCTTTTTATCTATGAATGTCTAACTGACATTCCGTGAGTGAACACACCATCTACACTCACCTCTCTATGCCGCCACAGGTCTACAACCTCGGCACGGGCCACGGATACTCCGTACTGGACGTGGTCGCTGAGTTTCGGCGGACGTCGGGTAGGGACGTCGCGTACAGGATCACAGAGCGGAGGGACGGCGACGTCGCCGCCACGTACTCGTGTCCGAGTGCAGCCGCTAGGGAGCTGGGCTGGACAGCCGTACACGGACTCAGCGATATGTGTAGGTGTACTCGACTTTCTATCTATACTTCCTTCTCCCCATCCCGTTCCTACTTCGACATTTACCACACTTCTACCCCTTCCTACTTCGACATTTACTACACTTCTACCCCTTCCTCCTCGGTCCCTCTTCCACTTTTCTTCATCCCCTTTCTCATAATTTGTTTATAATCATATTCAATCCAGGACTCATATTAAGATATCGGGAATAGCTGGTTAAGTCATACTTGGTTATCATTGAACATAATATATCCCATACGTACACACTTTTCTGCCTACAGGCGCGCACATGTGGAAGTTCCAGTCACTGAATCCAACGGGCTACAGATCCCCATCGGTAGCAAACGGTCACACGCCCGTAACCGACGGAGAGACGGTCACAGACGACGCAGAAGCACTGACGGTTACGGACGCACGACGCAGGGAATGCACGCGTCGGCAGGCGTCTGCCGCTGCAAGGTTGCCTAGGCAACCGATCGAGACGACGGGAGAAAGCGTCACGAACGACGACGGCGCGCGAAAGGGGGGCAGGCCGTTACTCACCACCGCACACCGCACGTCCGCCTACGGAGCGAAGTAACGTATGCGTGGTCGCATACTTAAAACGTTAGAATTGATCTTGAATAGGATCAAGTTGTTGCCGACAGTTAGGTGCGTGATCGTAACCTGTTCAGGACTGCGATGCTTCTACTACGGAACCTCGCATCTACCTGCAACCTTACGTGCTCACGATACCATCTGTTGGAGGACTGGTTGTGCTGTATACTGAATCATCTCTGTACATAACATAGTTTTATATTGATTTCTGTTCACGCAATGTGCAGGGCGTTTAATGCTGCACGTGTAATTATGGACGTGCGGGACGTAACTTATCATGCAAAGTTGATGATTAGAGATACCCAATCAGATTGGACCAACTTCTGACAGGGCCAGTTCACAACTACTGAACATGCAAAGCAACTGCCAATTAAATTGGGAATGTAGTTAAATATCAATTATTACTTATTTTATATGTTACATTTGGTGGCATGCAGTTGCGTGTCTTGCATTTGTCTTAGTCTTTTGTATGAATTTTGTGTATCGTTGAGTTATCAGTCAATTATCGAGTCATTTAAGTCGTCAATCAATTAAAATTATCAAGCCTCATAAAGCATTTTAATAATGAATTTGAAAACCATTTAGAGCATGCCTTCAATTTACAACCCACAAACGAACTAATCGAATTTGTCCATGTTCTCACTACTCTACACAATAGTATTAAGCAAAATACTTTAATAAAGAAACATTTTCACACGTATTTTAAATTTATTACATCTTTTACCTATTGCTGGTATAATTACAGGAAATGTTGTTTGAAACGTGTCGACATAAGTTAGCAGACAAACCTAGTTTACTGAATGATGTAATTACTAGTACGTTCAAAAAACAATAACGATTGAATCCAGTATCGTACTGAATATCAGTTATCTGAGAACATGTGGCGCCATCTACTCATTAATGGCATTACTCCTGTGGCATTTAATCACATTCCTGCAAAAAGAATTAACATATTTGTAAGAGCTAATATGACTGTTTTTATATTACAGTGTGGCCCCGTTATAACGCGATCGTTGGGGTCCATAAAATGTCATTGCAAAAAAGCGGGGACGCGCTTAAACGGGGTTCAAGAAAATCAGCGTATAAACTGACCCCCCACAGCAACAAGTCATGTAAACTCATTTAGTTGAGCGATCTATAGGCGATCGTCGCTTCGATCTAAGGCCGGCTTAACTCATCAAAAAACTTTTCAGTTCCGGAATAGGGAAAATAACAGGTCCAATGACTCATCACGTTATATCCGAATTCGCGTAAAATCGGGGTTTCACTGTATTTTTTGTCATTATCGACCATTTATATGCAGGTTACTGTACTACACTCCTACTGTACTATTTGTAAGCTTAGTAGTGGTAGTTTGCAGTAGTTTTATAGTGTGAGTACTCACCTAACAACGTTAAATTAGTCTAGATGGTCGCCAGTTATTCATCTGCCGGCGCGCAATTGAAAACACCAGCTTGCCTCATCCTTTCGAACTCCTTCTGCAAGTCGTAGTTCCTTTGTGAAATAAAACAACAAGTAGAAAGCTTTTAAGAAACAACAGCAGTAAAATATTAGCATTTACGCCATTAGGCATGTCAATTGTTTATCAGATATCACGTTTTCCAGTTTAAATATCAGTGTTGAGAATAGCAGCCAATACCATTGTCCGGGACTGTTAACTGCTGAGCAGGACCGACTACTTTTTTCAGATTTTATTACAGATTATATAGTATAATCAAAAATTTTACAAATCAGAACTGGCTAAGATTTCATGACTTATTTCTAAGACTGTTTAACAACTAGATATAGATTGAGTTTATTACTGAAAAATAATCATAGCTTTAGATTTGGTAGTTTTGTAATACTAATAGTAGAACTTGTAGTGCCGTACTTGTAGAAATCCGCATATCTCTGCTTTCTGCGGTCAGACACGAACACTTTGTAAGAGATACTGGCTGCAAGGCCGAGTGCAATAGCAATAGCCATGTCTTTCTTGATGCTAGATGTTAGATGACCTCTTAGCTGCGGCCGTGCCAGTTTTGCTATTACTCCAGACATCTGCAAGAACAATGTCGACTATTAAACTAGAGATTTAGCAAATAATGCAACGCAGCAGATCTGTAAGGAATTTCGATAAACTTAGTTCCTGTATCTGTCAAGTGACATGATTTAGGCCTAAATTATACAATTTCGTAGCTTGGGTAACGCTTCATCTGGTTAGTTGATGCACTGTGACAGTGATAGTCATATAGCTCCAAGAAACGGTCTTTGCTAGGATTAGAAGACCGTTTCAAATTCTTGCCCATAAAAAACTTGTAGTTGGCTCGGTATCCAAACATCGCCACAGCTGGCGTCACATGTAATAGCTCAAACGAATCTATATAAACCTCTGGCTTGCTCGCGGTAACTGGGCGCTACTGGCCGCTACTTATTTATCGAGTTATGCGTATTTTCTTAGATGAATTGGATGAAAACAACCAGACAGCCGCCATGTCCGCCATGTTCGGTGCGACTAAAATCGACAATAGACCTGATTTTCACAGTGCGTAGGCCTTAACACAAGGCAAGTACATATCTTCGTAATGATAATTATTAAGTTGTTGTAGATTGACGTTTCCTGGTTTTCACTGTTTTAATATTTATATATATACGAGTATATTATGCTTATTTATGCTCGCGCCAACGCGAGTTGCAACGCTATGGTATGTTGTCGTTTTGTGTTTTCCGCGTTCCGATCGAAACGCATGCGCAGTGGAAACATGGCGGTTGGCGGTTAAAGTGAAATTTAGGTTCGTCTCTTGAAATTTACAATGTTCAGAGCGAACTGAGGTATTAGTTTTAATAACAACGCTGGAATACTATAAGGTAAAGGTTATACTTGATACATAACAAGACAGAAATGCTTAGATGATTATTTTATTTGAGATATACGTAATTGTTCGGCAGTTTTTGTAGAGGTACAAGATTATCCAATGGATGTATGTCAGGCTGTGTATATTGACGTTAGTCACACAGCCTGGTCGGGCTAATAGTAATAGTGCGAGTTGTTGGGAATCACAGGCACTTGGAACGTCTAAAAAAAAAAATGTAAACACGAAATGTATTTACTACCAGTCTTAATGTTTCTCTACTCTATTTTGCCTATTATTGCCGATAATTACCCGTAAATGCCGGTCAAATGCTCATCTGCAACACACAAGTACACCGCACGCCTGCCCTGTGCACAAACAACATGAATAAGAGAGCAGGTAGGAAAGCGTGATCGCAAAATTCGCTCGACGCTCGCTTCATTTCACACGACTACAGAACGAAAACACACCAAACAGCCTCCATCTTGGTATCTATCTGTAGCTAAATGTTCACTTGTTCAAATTATAACAATGTCCTTTGTTCTTACCTACTCCCACCAGAGATATCTCGTGAAATCCTGCAGGAAATGTTCTCTCCGTGAAAATGTAAAGAGGACGTATCATCCGAAAATCCCTAACGGAGGTACTTTCGATCGATCACTGTAGTCATGTGTGTGTGACGTCATGCCCGCGCGCATTATGCTTGGCTTGGCGGGCCTCGAACCAGAGGCTCGGAGGGAGGCAGCAGCTCATCCCGGCATGCAATGCGCCCCATTACTCGTGTATAAAACTATAAACAGACATCTCGTACTCTTTACATTTTCACGAAGAACATTTCCTGCAGGATTTCACGAGATATCTCTGGCGGGAGTAGGTAAGAACAAAGGACATAGTTATAATTCAAACAAGTGAACATTTAGCTACACATAGATACCAAGATGGAAGCTGTTGAATGTGTATTCGTGCTGTGGTGTGAAATGAATCGAGCGATCACGCTTTCCTACCTGCTCTCTTATTCTGATAGTGATATTCATGTTGTTTGTGCACAGGGCGGGCTAGATACAATAATGTAACCCAAACACAGGATGGAGTTACAACGCGAGCCTATTCTTTTCTTTGGAGGAACCCCTGAGTGAATCACTCAAGGCGGTTTGCTGGTGCGTTTTCAGAGACTAGAACTTCCAAACTGGGTTTATTCTAAACACGTCCCTTTCTCCGCTATCCTGGTACTTAATATGTATCACAATACTCTGTATTAAACTAATATAACCTGTTACAAAATTTCGAAGCGACGAGCCGCGATATTTCGAGCGCCATTTCTGGTGACCTGTGACGCTGGCTTTCCCAATGTGCATAGCGATCAGCAAACTTCGGTTTGAAGAGCGGATTCACCGACCAATCGGAGGGCTCACAGCGCACTAAAGCTGACCGAAGTTTGTCGATCGCTATGCACATTGGGAAAGCCAGTGTCACAGGTCACCAGAAATGGCGCTCAAAATATCGCGGCTCGTCGCTTCGAAATTTTGTAACAGGTTATATTAGTTTAATACAGAGTATTGTGATACATACTCCGGGGTTCCTCCAAAGAAAAGCATAGGCTCGCGTTGTAACTCTATCCTGTGTTTGGGTTACATTATTGTATCTAAGCCTAAGGGCGGGCGTGCGGTGTACTTGTGTGTTGCAGTTCTGCAGATGAGCATTTGACAGGCATTTACGGGTAATTATCGGCAATAATAAGCGAAATAGAGTAGAGAAACATTAAGACTTTGGTAGTAAATACATTTCGTGTTTATTTACCATTACCCATTACTCATTAGTCATTACTTTTTTTAATTGAGACGTTCCAAGTGCCTGTGTTGGGAATGACCAAACTCGACTACGTACGATCAGTTTCTACGGCTAGGGAACGACATTTTCACTACATATAACGCTTAATATCGAGAATTATCTTTCACGTAATAACAGTGTAATGCAGTATAACATAACATACGTTCAAAGAAGACCGAAATTCACTCCAAAATATGCCTTTTCACGGGGATGGAAACTTCTGACCTTCTGAAACAGTGACACAATCGTGGCGTCATCTAGTGAGAAATCGCAAACCCATATGAGAGAGTTTTAGTTTTACTTTGAAACAAATATATTAATACTTACTTTATTAACATAATAAAATAGCAAATAAGAGATAATCATTTTAGATTTATTCCATATAAAAATATAGCTTCTGTGACAACATATTTTAAATATACAGTCATGAATGATACATATTTTGTTATCGTCATCGTCTCTTACTCACTCTTAGCCAAAATGCATATATGAGCAGTTAGTTGGTAGCCCTATATCTATATAATTATATACATTATTAATTTCAATTACATAAGAAGAATTACAATTGCCACAAGATAAACATAGATCAAGCCTTCATCATGACACATATCATCGTTTGATACGGTTACAACCCTAATTAATGACCCTAACGACTATCAGAATTCTAGCGTGTCCAGCTTCCTCCTTAATTGCTACTATTGCCCTCTAAAGTTTTTCTCATAAGTTTCTTAACAAAAATTTAATGACGTTATTATGTACTGTATAAATATATAATATATATTCTATGTACATGTGTAAATAATTCTCATGCTAGAGAAAGCTTCCTGTTGATTAAACTCGAGTATGTATGACTATGTGTTGGATTACAGGGCTTCTGCCAGACAATGAAATGGTAAGAAAGGCTTACATTAAAAAACATTTAGGGTAGAATGGCCTAAACAAACAGAAATGAAATGAATTTTTTCAATTATTTGAAAGATTCGCATGGAATTTGTATGCTGGTGCACACATGCTAAACATCATAATACATACACAATACATCATCATACAACCAGATATTGTATATATTCAAGATCAAAGTTTTACATAAAATGTGATGACTATTAAATATACATATACAAAACAACATGCAATACAAGCAACATGATTGAACTTATATGTAATCATGATATGAAATTGGAATAATAAAACAATTTCTGCCTGGTTGCTCAGGCAAAACTCAGACAGTTCAAAACTCAACTCTATAGTGGCATCGCAATCAGGCATTAATGGTTAATTATGTTTATGTCATTAACTGCTGATAAATCCTATTTACAACACTTGAACTGGTCACTCTGGCTCCTCATTTGCATACTGATTATGTACTAGGTTGCCATAGTATGCAGTAATTGTCTTGAGCTTATTGTTCAATAGGTTCTGTTCGATCTCCATTTGACCTCCGTGTCCCGCCATTGATGTCAACTGAAACAGAAATTCAGAGTATTTCCCAGTAAAAAAGTATGACAAGTAAATACATGAGCATTGGCAAAAAAATCATGCAATACAGTATTGCCTTAGGCTGAATATCTATTAAAAACATATAACTAGCAGCTCAAGTATCACATATTGTGTAAGCCCCTTCTATTTTTATGATATCCCCATTGATTCACATAACGTGTGTATACATATAAAAATCTCTGAGTACAGGGTTCATAGTAGTAAGACACATGTTGAAATAAGGACGTATAAGACCCTTTCTTGAGGCCAAAATAAGACTTTTTTACACGATTTCAGATAGATCACCGACTATTAAAGTACACTAACAATATTTATATACACAATTGCACAGCAGATTTAATTATTCCGTATTATATATACAACAATTCTTACTCTAAGTCGAGAAAAAATAAGGACTATTAAGTACTTTTCTAAGATTTCACCAAAAATAAGTACTAATAAGGGCCCTTATTATATTTTTGGCAAAATAAGTACTTATAAGACTTTGGAAGACCCGCTACGAACCCTGGAGTAAACTGAAGGCAAGATTTGCCTTGTCCTAAAAATGTGTTAATTTGACACATGTCCATCTACTATAGAAGAAAATAGGACTCACCTGATTGACGTTTGAATTTCTTGGCACAAAGTAAGCAATATTCTCCGATATCAAACTAGCCTTCTCGAAGATCTTAAATCCATCTATAGGCATCTTCTGAAGGTCAAAGACCTGCACAAATAAAAAAAGTTACAATCAAGTATAATTGGATATGTAAGCGCCACCCGTTCTCATTTATCAGTTAAATACTGTATATAAGCTGTATATTTCGCAGTGGTTTAATTTTCGCGAATTTCGCGAACACATCCCCAACCGCAAAAATAACAACACACGAATAATTCACACCGAATAATTCATAATTCACCGACCACTCGCGAAATTGTCCGTCAAGTCTGAATTTGCGAAAATATCTGTACGCAAAAAACATTGTGTATACAGTAGTAGAGAGTTTGGGTGGAAGAAGCCCATGACATAAACCTTGTCAGATAATCGTCTCCCTCACCCCGCTTCCAAGATACTCGGGTCCACCCCAAGGTGGACTCAAGTACACAACGTCTGCTGAGAGAGATGGTGCCAGCTGCATGAAATCACCCAGTACGAACTGAATGCGATCGGTTACTCCGTATACAGCTGCATTGTGGCGGGCATGCTCCAGTTTCTGCGGGTCTATGTCAATTGCAATCACTAAAAACATATGAGACATCATAAGTTACACGTTATAAGGTATAGAAATTTCCCATTCTATAAATTGTATGTTCATGCTACGTAATATTAAATTCATGCAGATTGGTCCCAGGTTATTGCCTTTTGCAATAAGTGACTCCCACTAAGGCTTTCATTCTCAAAACATTAAAAAGGCAAACTGTCTTAGTCAGTGACTATGGACATATTCACATGGTAGTTTATACGCTATCCATAGCTAACCATGAATGCGAATAAAAAGTTCACAGACACTAATTGTCATCGCATAGGCTGGCCTTCATCACATTTATTAGTTACACACCCAATGAACACGTGAGCGCCATCTGGATGGTATTGCCGCCGACACCACAGAATGCGTCGACGACGACGTCACAACGACAACGCTCTGCTTGATGCTCTGCGATGCGCTCCGGTGTGACAGAGTACCACGACTCTGAAACGAAACAGCGACATCGCAGCCACACGTTCTACTTATCCCCTCAACGTGTTCATGGAGAGATTCTAATTGTTACCTACTGTCACTTCGACGTTCTACTAGAGGGCTTTTGATGGGTACATTAGAATAAATTCAATCTTTTACGTGTCAATGTGAACGATGTTATTCTTGACGTAGACCAACTTAGTCTGGTGCAATTAAGTCCATTCTCATCGGATCCCTGTTCTCTAGAGCTTTTGGAATGAAAGTTTCTGCGTAGGACCCATCTTACCTTTGTCAAGCCTGATACCTTCGTCGAAGCGCGAGAAGAGCCTGTAACGCTGGCACCAGTACTTCATCAGATCACTGTTCTCGGCGATTTCGTCGGGAATTCTATTTCGTCTCTTCCGCTTCTTGCTCTTCTTTAGCTTCCCCCTCGAAGGCTTCTCCTCCCATGAGCTTGCAGTCATCGCCTCTGTGTCAGGCCACTGTGACAGCGCGGACGGATCGCATAACCCCAGTTCCTCCGTTACGTCGTCGTCATCTACTCCATGCTGAGTGGTTCTGTTCACTGGCGACTCACACTCGACGAGATCGGAAATGTCAACATCGCTTTCCGATGAGCTGCTCGACTCTGCCGATACACGCGAGGCGCTCTGCGTCGAGGCAACCGACTCATGCAGGCAACAGACGTCTACGCCACTCTCCAAAGAAGTGGAACTGTGCTTTTTCGCAACTTTGTTAAAGTTCTCTTTTAGTGTCTCGCTCTGCATGCAGGTGGCACCACTAGTGCCTACTGTGGATTCCTCGGCAAAGCGAATGTGGGTGTGTTTCTTCGACTGCCATTGGGATGGCAGGAGTAGGACCTTTGATCTTCCTTCCACGTTTCTAGGATGGAACTTAACATGCCCTTTAGTCCACAGAGCTAAATCTTTGTATCTACAATAGAAAAATCTTATTTATTTATATATTTTGGCACTGCAATTGGCTTAGGGTCATGATAATGTAAAAAGAAAATATGCAAATGGTCACTGGCAGTTATTAAGTAATTATGATGTATGAGATCCAGCACATTTAATGAGGGCAAACCTTGGCTGCTGGTCTTCCAATGTAAAGCCCATCATGTCCAAGGTCTTTCTTGCATCGACCTCATCATCGTCATCGTCATCATCATCACCATCGTCGTCGTCGTCGTCATCATCATCATCATCATCCTCCGCTTTTTCATCATTTACGGTCGAGTCCTGGTCATCCTGCTCATGGCTGAAAGGAATACCGATAACTGTTCTTAGAATTTTGTTTAGAATGCCCCGACCAACAGATGCGCGTCAGCAAATCTGAGATGATTATTTCTCAAGATGCCTTAACAGTACGTTTTGTGAATGATATTTAGACACAGACGAGTGACCATTAGACATTTATTATGCACACCTTCTTTTATAATGGATTCTTCTTTCTTCAGGAGGTTCATCATCCTCACCATCATCACCATGAGCACCGCTTCCAATGAAACCTCCAGTGACACTGTTTCCCTTTAGGACTTGTGCCTTTTTACTTTCATTAGATGACGTATTTGAATTAGCAGGTGTTTCCGACTTTGATGTTTTGGCCTCCTTACCTTCCTTGCCATCAACAGGCTCTTTACTATTTATACTACTACAACCACCCTTGCCAGGAGCACTGCCATGGTATGTTTGCTGATGATATTCTAGGATGCAAGGCTCATCGAGCGGCGTGAGATCCCTGTTGGAATCGTTAGCAGTTTCGCATACACCCATGTTCAAGCTCAATTCGAACTTCTGTGACACTGTCTCGATAGAAGAATAACACTGCTGTGATGTGTGATCACATGTCAATGGAAATACCGGAATTGTTTGTGTGTCTTCATTAGCCGGAAGTATCTGAACGTCCACGTCAATGACACCACCTTCCGACGGACTTTCTTGCTCTGGTATAACTTGATCGCCTAACCCAGCAGCTTGCATATGACCTATCCCAGAGACACAAAAACAGTTTGTGGTTGGAGCATGACTGTCCGCTTCACTTACATCACAGCTTCCGCGGGTATCCGCATTCAAACTGACAACAGGCTCACCGGTGCTTCCCGTATCATCGCTCCAGCCTACTCTACCGGACTCGTTCGCTTCCACGAGCTCAGCCGCACCCGCCGTTCTTTGCCCGGCGCCACCTGCAGAGCAGAACTGGCGGTAGTGCGTCCAGTACGTCGCGCTGACGTGCTGCTCCCACAACTCGCTCCAGTCGTCTATGTAGTCGCCGGCGACGGCGTCGGGGCGATGTTCCGCGCCGGACACGACGGCCCTCTCCTCGTCGCTCCGCGCGACGCGAGACGCTCCCGCTGCTTCCTCTCGGGGAATGCTCTCTTGTTCGTCGCGAGTACAGAGGGAGCCATGCGTGCCGAGGTACTCGGGATCGATGTAGTCGGCGTACTTGCGCACCCAGCTCTCCCACACCAGCTCATCACCACGCACGCTCCAGTATTCCTCCCAAGCAGCGACCGTCTCGGCGGCGACTGTCGCCGTGGCGACGGTCTCGGCAGCAACCGTCTCCGTGGTGTTCGCCGCGCCAGGGTCGCGACCTCCGTCGATCACGTCACAGTACTGACTAGGCTGAGAAAGACAGTCGTCCGCTTCTCTTCTCTGATGTCGTTTCTTCGGCTTTTGACGTTTTTTCTTGCTGGACCTCGCATCATGTGTCATACTTTTATCCTTCGAGGCGACAGAAAGGTATGGAAAATGCACATATTAAAATACTTGATAATTAATAACACATCAAACGATACGTATGTTATAAAAAAAAATCGATCCTATATGCACAATATAATTAATTGCGATATTAAAATGGATAGACCTCGCAACAAAAGGCCTATATAGACCTACTGTGAGCATACTTGCAGTGTGCAAACTTCATGAAATGTTCTCATTGAGCCAGAAATGTGCTCCGAAGTTGACTATTTTGACAAATCTGTCAGACGCAAGTTATTTGCATGAAATGCCAGATAACGAAAAATAGTATCCATACGCCATAGCGCAAATAGTTTCTGGAACAAAAACACTATATTTGTTTCCTGATTGCATATGTAATGTAGATAACAATATATGATTTAAACAAATTTTACAATATTGTATTGAATAAACATATAATAATGAATTATAACTTGTTTTATCATAGAAAAGAACTGTTAACGATCGCTCCGCTGTGTCCCAGATGTGTAAACATCACTTTCGTGCTACTTTCGTAAGAGAAGTAATTTCGTTTAGATTTTGAGAAGAAATGTTATGAAAGTAGCAACACAAATGAGTTCTAGTGAATTTTTGCAACATAGACGAGCTCACAGTAGGTCTATATATGCATTTAGCTGTGAGGTTAAGCAACTTTAATGTCTGAGACAAGTTTGTGTGAAAAATTAGTCTCCATCTACCATCATGCATTTAATGTGCAGCATTACCTCTCCAGACCTCCAGCCACCATTTGTAAATCCAAGTGGCAACCCCATGGCTATCATGAGTTCCTCATCAGCAGTGAACATGCCATTGCTTCTACGGAAGAAAAGATACTAAAATTAGCAGTGCCAATAAAAATGTAAAAATCAGAGAGTTTAATAGTACTTATGTGAGGATAACCCAGAAATGACATTCCTAATGTTTAGTTACATACATCATATAAAAAAAAACTGTATTCTATTCCTCTAAGAATTTAATTTACATTGAAATTTTTGTGAAGCTACACTAACATTTACATGTCAAAAAACATTAACATTAAAAATGAAATAACATTTACCCAGGATGATTAGTTTTTATTTCCAACTTTTCATTTGAAATCCCAGCTGCCTTCTGATTTCTGTCTTCATCTTCAACCCATTCCTCTTCTTCCTCCAGTGGTAAAGTTTCAATACCCAGTTGATAGAGATCCTTGTCCCTATTATTACAATTAGTGAAAGTACTGGATTATGGAAGAAGTCCTTACAGTACCCCCCACGCAAATCAGCCAATTGCTGCTAAGATAGAAATTAACTAATCGATTTTAGTCATATATATAGTTAAGACATTTTTGGAAAGAAATATCTTAGAATGGTTGATGAACAAAGTTACAATAAACGTCCGCTAAGATCATCCACAAAGCCAAGCGCACACAAACACATTTTACCTACTGTATTAATTGCGTATATTACACATTATGATTATATATAAGATATAAAATATGAGTTTTATTTATCGCTTTCAATATTAGTAATTACAAAGATTTTAACAACGCGAATAGTACACAATACAGCGAAGGGATGACGAAAAGACCATACGGTCATATAGTCAGCCATCACCTGAAAAAAATTATAAAATACGCGGGTAACTGTCATTAGAGTAGAAAAATAATAAAGTAAATACGTACAGCACAAATAAAACTTACCAGACAAACGCCCTATTACACACACACATTATGTGAGAGTCATTTACGTCTTTGTATGGTAGCTCAAGTGTCAATACAGCCAAGTGGTGCCATCGGTATCTACTAGTCATGGCTTATCAGTTTGTTTTGTATTATAGGGCACGTAAGCGCAAGTAAGACGGTGTCACGTTATTTATGTAGCCTCAGCCTGCGAACTTCGTCTTCGCCGGCTTCGGTGGCAGTGGCCAGTGCCAGTGGCAGTGCCAGTTCGGACATCATTCAGTCTTGTTGGTTGGCTTCATCTACAAACAAATTAGTATTGCTGACGTACTATATGTATTGTAACATTGCTAGACTGATGTAATTTATACAGGATGTAGACCACGATTATAATCTAGTATAATATTAATAATTCCTCTCTTCAGTTCCTTCAGTGCATGTTGTAGAGCATGGGTACATCGCATTTAGACTGGTACCCGGTCCCACCTTTCAGCTTAGGTACCCATCGAGTAATCGAGGTGGGAGCGAGTACCAGTCTACATCGCATTGGAAAGGCTGAACGCTAGCGACATCTATTAGCGATTATATGCGTTCATTTATAATTTTTTACATTATTTTAATTTTATCACCAAATTAACACAAAGCTTAGCACAACCCTTCCAGTACTAATCGTAGATATATTATTTTTATTAAATTTTAATTAATTGACAGTATCCTTAATTAGATTAATACATTTATTGATGATGGATGTCTTGCCTGGTGATTCTATGATAGGTGCTGATTCACAGGTACCCACTTGAAGCGTTTCAACTGTAAACACACGCCGCCGCCATTGCGCGCACACTGACACATAAACATATATATATACATACATATATATATATATATATATATACATATATATATAAATGTATACATATATACAGGAGTCTATCAATATTGATCAATATTGATAGACTCCTGATATATACATATATCTA